TGGTCGTGATCTCCAAGACTGAGTTAAACTTCTTCTTCATGTTTTATCTCATGTCTGTCAAAACAACCAGCCATGTTTGTTTTAACGCTGCCCTAGCTGGAAATAGTCAGACTTGTGCGCACGCTAGCTCCATTTCCATATTCTGCTGGAAAAGACACCAGGACAGAGTCAGTGGAAATGCTGGAGGACATGAGATCTGATGATGATGATGGTGAAAAAAAAAATCTGGAGACAGGCAAATCCCTCCAGGATCTCATGCCAGGGTGCACATGTACGAGTAAAAACCCAGTCTGTCTGTCGTATGCGTGCCTGCTCTCTTATCTGTGTAAACACATGCATTCCCTCTCATGGATATTAGCGTACTCGTAACAATGAGCCAGCGTGCTGCTCATTAGCCAGCTGCTTTATTCCTCCTGGATGGTCTTTAGTGGAAAGAGGAGACGCGAGCTCAACGGGGCGCCACCCCCGCCAGCGGCAGCAAAGCCCGGGTCAGCAGAGTTACCAGCTCTCGTCTGTCATGACTTACTTGCTGGTTATCTTTTCCGGGACGACAATCAATCCGTTAACATGCTACTCACTAAAGCTATATAGATTTCAGCCTTAAAGCAGTTAGATATGCAAATGTCTCAGAGTGTGTTCCTGTAAAGAAATCCTACCCTTTTGTTTTGCTTTTTTTACGACTGCATTTGAGGGGCAGTTGTGACTACTCAAAGCTCCGCCACGAGTCAATGAAGAGCTCAGGTCGTATTTATGTTCTACTGTGCAGGCCACTACTTGATTTATTAATGCTGTTTTACGAAGCATGATTCATATTTCAAAGGCTGCATATTTGGAGTGGAAATAATTCAACACTAGAACTTAGACAGGCTTAAAACTTTGATCTTCCTTGGTGATCTTGACTTTCTTTTCTTTTTCTTATTTTCTCATGTTTTTCTGTTCTGCCTATAAGCAAAACAGACCAGTCTATAATTTGCTGTGGTTTGATGACTGTCTTCAATATGCCGAGGCACCAGAGTCCTGTACTACGAATCCAGTTCAACCACATAGCTGCACCTGCAAGGTGAATACAGCTGGCAAAAGGAAAAGTGTTTGAATGCGTACATTAACAGGTTTATGATATCACTGCCCCGTCTAAGACACGATCTCACTTTAATTACATTTGACTCGAGTGTTTCGTCAACTTAATGTGTTGCTTAAAATAATACTTCTGCATACAGTATGTGACACTGAGTGTTGCAGGGCCAGATACGGCTCAGCTGACTCAGATAAGGAAATATATGATACATTATGATGTGATATGAATGATAATGTCACATCGACGTCTGCACTCACAGTGCCGTGGACTGTACGTAATGTTACTTTGCTCGGGTTACTTATGTTAACTTGTGGCAGATATTTAAGTAAGCTTTCTTAACGCTAATGTTATAATAGTCAGATTGCTCTGAAGATGGGAGGTGATATTCTATTAATGTTCACGTTCACACAGTCGGTGATTTTTGCCGGCCGTCTTTCCTGCGACGGCAGCTTTTCTGTATTTCCTTTCTCCTGTAATATGACTTGATCGCTTTAAACTCCGCACACTGAGCTCTGATTGGTCAGCAGGCAGTGCTTTCACTGAGTTGAGCTCTTAGCCTGCAACCTAACCTGCTCCGGGGCAGGTTAGCCGCTTAGCATAAGTTACCATGGAGATCTAGCCTGCTAAAAAGAGAACCAGCGTCGTAGGACCGGAAACCCAGAGTTTTCCCTGAAGTTAGCTCGCTAAGCAAAAATCCGGCTTCGTAGTACAGGCCTCAGGAGTTCTCGTGACTTTCCCATCGAACTTGTCAACTCACTTGGATAGTAACAGACCAGTGATCACGCTCATCACATTTATCTTCCCCGCAGCCTTTGAGCTCCTCTGAACACATGTAACGTCTCAAATACTTTCCGTGCAAAGATGTAATTGCTTTTAGATAACAATTGGAGGAATGCTTTGATCTGATTGCTTATGGTGTAAACAATGAAAGATGCTATTAGATTTGTACTTGGATCTTTGATTTCTAGGAGCTCCTGGCTAATCATTGATGGAGCTACACATATAGGAAATGTGAAAAATGTTGTGCTATCAGCTGCTCTCTGCTGACTGCTTACAGATGTTGTGATTAAACCACAGAACAATGACTTGCGTACATCGTACAACCCCCCCCCAGAAAAACATAAAAGCCCCACCGTTTTTCTTTCCCTTTTGATTCTTCAAAGATTTATCCAATCTTAGATCTAAAAGCATATTAAGGAAAGATTGTTGAAGCTGACACAGAATGCCTCTGGAGCTCATTCAAAACTATCATATTTGGATTTCATCATTTCTTTTTTGACTCTCTTTAATCAATGAGGAGGTTGGAGTTGCTGATCTGTACCCCAATCCCCCCTTCAGTTGGTTTAGTGTGGAAAATCCATGTCATCTGACTCCCCCCTCGCTGGTTTAGATTAGAGAGGAGCACTCGGAGCTCTGATGCCGGGTCCCTCGCTCCCATTAACCACGGTCAGGCCCGATTCCACGCTCATCGCTCTCACACCTCGTCACATTCCCGTCCAGATCCTGAACAAACTGTGCTGAGAGGAGCTGGCCGGTGAAGCTAGGCATTGAGATAAAGAACAGAGTAAAAGAAAGCTTATTTTTCTCCTGTTGATCTTTCACTTGTGTTTAACTGCTGACACATAGTTAGCTAAATGCCTTTGGAAGCCAGATCTGAATATATGTTAAATGGGAAGTTCCAGATCACAAATCATGTTTTTTTGTCATTTAAGTGGGAAATGTTTTTAATATAGTTTTATGTTCCTCTTTGTGGATGCTAGGAAATTAAAATCTTTGTGCAAAGCCATCTTAAATAGTTTGATTTCCCTCCAAGCTAACCTGCCCTTTGAGAGCTGGCTGATGAAGTTGGTTATAAACCCAAAACAGAAAGCGTTATTTGACAATAAATTAATTCACTTCAGATCCAATTCTGTTTTAAAGGATATTACGATTTATTACAACTTACTTGGAACCTTTGTTTTTGGCTGTTTGATTACATTATACTTTCCAAAGTTGAAGGCCTTTTTCACAACAGACATTTAGATTTCTCTTGGCAGAACAAGTCATAAAAGCTTACTTCATATTAGGTGTTGCAGTTGTGAATCCTTGCTCACTGTCACGGCTAACTTCAACACCGAAAAGAACAATCGTTAATGTCATTAGTAACACGTACGCACTTCCTGTGACTTGGCCCTGAAGGCTTTTGCCAAAAATGTAAGATTATGAAAATATTGCAACAAAAGAAAAGTTTTACAGGTGGTTAAGAAAGAGAAAAAAACTGTCAAATTATTACCTGAACTGTTTGCTGAAAAAACACTCACAGTTCAGTCTACCTGCATCACATCTGAACTGCTGTTCTTTCATCCTTTTATGTTCAGATTCAAACATTTAATTTCAATAGTGAACATGCCACCATATTGATTTTAAATGTATCGCGCTGTGCAAAAACTAAAATATTGGCAGGCATAGCAACAGTAACTAAGGGAAGGTAGGGCTTAGCAACCAATCAGGTTGGCCAAAACTATAAAAGTAAGATCCAGGATATACAAACAGACTTATTCTTATTGCAGGAACCAAACTGTCCCAGGCCTTTATTTGTTCTCTTTTCTGTAGTTAAACATCCTTATTTGTGTTCTAAGTTGTATATAATATATACCTTTATAAACGTTTCTAGAATTGATTTTTTTACATGTTCTCCTTCATGCTGCTACATCAAAAGCAGTGTCATAAGCTTCTTGAAAGTCCACGATGGATGAATGTAGAAGATCAGGTAGAGCATGAAGCATACATCTACATGAGGAACAAGTTAGCTCCTTTTGCTTCAGTGCCTTTAATAATATGAACATCAGGTCATTTTGAGGCCTCATCAAGAAACGAAATCAAAGCAGGAAGTTGCCGTAGAGTGAGGAATGGAGTTAGGGAGTGAAAATCATTAAAAGTGCATTTTGCAGGCAGTTTCCAGAACAAAAATAAGAAGAAATAGATACAGAAAAGAGGAATCACCGAAGCAAAAACAACCACACCACTGGAGTTGGGCAGTAAATGATACGCACTGACTGAATGAGAGAACGTTTGGTCTCTCCGTGTGGTTTAGCATAGATCTGTCTGTAGGCCTTATTGATTCACAAGCTTCAGAGGACTTGAAATCAACACACATTTGTGGTGTTTAATTCTGTGGATTCTGTGTAAACAGAAGATCCTCCACCAGATGTTGTGATTCTTACAATCAAACTAAATGTGATGAATTTTGATTGCTATTCATTATATGCTGTGTTTATTTGTCTTCACAGCTGACTCCAACTAGATTCTCCTCGATGAGGACAAACCTTTTAGGATTGTTAAATCCAGACAACAGCCAGTATTATGGCAACATTTTTCTTCGTAAATAGTTGTAGTTAGTAAATTCAATCATTAAGTATAATTCTGAAACCGACCATTATGCATAATAATTGCTTATACTTTTGTAATTGGACTTAAGTAAGAGTTTGAAGGCAGGACTATTACCTGAGTAATTCTTCATTGTGGTATCGCTACTTATACTTAGTACACAATAAAATAATACTTAGGTAAAGGTCAAATATCTGAGTACATCTACGACCACCACAACCCAATGATTGTGTATCTCCTTCACATCAGGCCTATTCCTTGCTTTTGCCATTACTATAAGTGGAGCAACCTTTAAATTCCAGCCGGTTTGAACTGGCTGCTAACACTCACTAGATGCTGCTGGCGGTCCTGCTGGTTTACAAACATTAGGATGACTCAGATGGAGTCGTGACTAGTGGGAGGAAAGATAAACGTGAACAAATGTGAATCTGCTCTGGGATTTGTTGTTCTCATTGCAGGATCCTCTACTACTGAGCTCACGAGAGTCTGTCATTTGATGTCATTTACCAGATGCCCTCCCTGTCTCTCCTCCTCCCCTCCCTCCCTCTCTCTCTCTCAGGACACCCAGCGTTGGGAGAGGTCCGTGTCGAGGGTCGCTGAGATCACGTCAGCCCTGATCCGGGACAGGAGCCCCGCCCTGGTGGGACAGCTTCTGCAGGCATGAAGAGAAGCAGCATGGACAGAAAACCCCCTCACCATGACTCATGAACATAGCAGGGATAAGACAGTTGGCTTTATTTTAGCCTTCTTTACCAATTACAGCGAGTTTAAAGGGATACTCCCACCATTAAGTACAGCTGTTTCACAAAGCATGGGGACTTTCAGGACCACCTTAAAAGAGAAATGACAAAATGTAAGCAGAACAGTCCTAAGTGTGGGTCCCTTGGCTAGAGGGTCTAGAGACCATGTTTTTATAATCACCAGAAAGTGGAAAAATGATGTTTGTATGCGGTGTTCACAGAAGGCTTTAATGCAACCTGTGCCTCTTCAAGTTAAGAGAATGTGAAGCGTTTGGAGTTAATCTACTGTATTGTGACATGAATCATGATAACTACTGCTTGTACCACTGGATAAAGTTGCTCATGACTGACGCTAATATGTTATAAAATGGTTTATATATATTTTTACTCTATAAAATCTGCTTATTTAAAACAATAAACAGTTACTCTAATGATGGCTTTGTATTCATGGTGGTAGGACCCTTAAATCAAAGCAACTATAGAATACAGCCAAACCTATTTTCATAATTTACACCTGTGCTCTTCCTCATTTGACAAGTAAAATTACTTTTGTGAAAATTTGCTCTCAACTTAAACTTTGTTTTTTGTGAATGAGGCTCTGGACTTATTCCAATGATGCTTCTCCTCTCCTTTTGTGAGTAGCCCTCCTCTGGAGATCACCTGACCATTCTCCTGTCTCTGCTGACCCTCATCATCTTCATCTTCATCTGTCTCATTACACACAGAGGACAGCTTTCAGTCACTCTCTGCTAGGTGATTTATACTGCTAAGCTGTTATAGTGCTACAGCCAAACTCTTACTTACCTTTACTTACTAGAAATCTTCTTGCATATACATTCTTGCCTTCTTAGTTTGTCATGGCCAAAACCAACGGCAATAGTTATCTAATGTTAAATATTAAGTTGCAGAATAACAGTGAAATATGTGTTCTCTGTTAGGCAAAGAAAGGAAATTACAACAGAACTGTCCTCTCCATCTCTGGTGAAGCATAACCAAATGTCTGGGAAAGTTTACCTTTTTGTTAAGTATTTTCCGTCCCCAGGATCGTGTATTTGTCACAGGAAAGGAGGGAAAACAGTTGTGCACATCAAAGAGTCTTAAAAGTGTTGATGCCGGAACATTCCTAAGATGACCACAAAGGCTTTGTCGCTCTGTGTACACTTCTCAAACTTCCAACATCTCCAGTTTCCTGCGGTCCTCTGCAGCTCAGTGGAATTCCAAGTGTTGATAGAAAGCCGCCTCGGGCATCTTCAGATTCCTGAAATGAACTCCTCACACATACGCTTATATTTCAGGGATTTCTCTGGAGAACGTAACCCACAGTGGTATATGATGAGCGCTGCAAGCAACTTATAATATAAAGTGATTGCAAGCATACATTTGTTGTTTTTTGTATTCACTCACATAGGATTCTTCTTATTTCATCTGAATATCCTGAAACTTTTATGAATGTATTTGATTTCTTATTCTCTTTTTCATTCCCTTTGATTTACCCCTTCTGTCATATTTAAAGATGAACAGAACAGATCATCATTAAATGACTGGGCAGAAAGATCAAGTATTATAATGTAAAATGTTTATCAAGGACTATTTTCAGTAGCCAATTAATAAACATGTGATGCTCTAAAGTGAATTTGTGGAAGCAGGACAGAATGCAGAAAACCGGATGTTTCCTTTTGTTTTTTAACATAGGTGCATCAGCCAAAACAAAACACTGGGGGAGGCTCGGGTGAAACCGGTGTTGTGACTAGGACATCATTTAAATACAGGTTTTAGGTTTCCAAGAAGTCTTGGCGTGATTCTTACAATTCACTGATACATTCAAATATATTTCTGGATGGAAGAATTTTGTCAATGCTATCCACTTGCCTGGATTAATTCACAGAGAGAGGTTGTGGTGAAGATGAGAGCATGATTTATTTATTGTACTACAGTGCCACCTAGTGGACATCATGGTTAATATATCTGGTGTAAGTGATATTCATTCTTTCTCCACCAGGTGGCTATATTGGATATGGGTCGGTCTGTACAGGGACTGCAAGTTCTACTGCTCCTTGTGTTTTTTTTGGATAATGATTTGGTGAGATTGAGTCCAAAGCTACATATAATATGGATGCAATGCAACAGTATGCGTAGTAACTATACTGAATATTGTAGCACTTTTGAGTTCACATGCTTCTCTTGTAAAACTCATTCCTGAATTAATTGGCTTTCAAATACTTGTGGGGCTAAAAGCAATCTGCCAATTAGGTTTTATCTTTTCATTTCATAAACAATTGAAATACCATTAGTGTTAAGAATCACCATGGATCAACACACTTTCCAATAAAATACAGAATAATTTTACAGAAGGACAATTAATTGCAATGCTGAATATATATAAATGCATACATGTTCACAAAACGATTATTATTCTATGAGAATATAATAAGAGTTACCGTTCTTTTCATTTTCTTTGTAAACCCGTAGGCCCCTGAAGCCTTCTGAGGTTTAATTTAGACTGGCGAGGTACAATATGAGCAAAGTGTTTCAGAATGAGAGAAGAAAAATGGTGTCTCTTCTGCTAACCGCTGCCGTGGGATTCTTTTTGATAACTCACTCGTTTGGGCTTGCGTTGCATTGTAGACAATTGTTTCAAAACTGCAATAGAAACTTTTTCGCAGGAATTTCTGCCTCTGATTCAGGTTTTCACCCTCTCAAGGGATTTGCATGTGTATCTGCATTTAGAGACCATCCAATATGTGCCTCTCTCTGAAATATATGCCAAAACCTGTCATGGGCTAGCTTTTCTAGACCTGCAAACAGAGCCAAGAAGAGTTGCAGAAGTCTTCCCAGAGCACTTGAATTGCAACATGCTGAAAGATTATTATGTAATTTTTTGCAGATGAGCCAAAAAAAGAACAGCCTACTCTTCTTTTAAATGCTATTGTTGTAGGTGCAGCTAAATGGTCCAGACCTGGATGTTCTAGCTGCTGCAATGTCTTTACTCTGAGCCAACCTAGCTTAATGCTAACCAGAGCCACGGGCCTTTGGATAATACCTCAGACCAGGTCCTGTTTAGATAGTGCCACAGCTGGTGCTGCAGGGAAGGAGACTGAAGCCAGATCCCACAGTTTGACTGTCTGTAGGTCTGCCAGACTCAGACGGCACGTCGTCACCCCGACCAGCCAACCACAGCTCTGATTACGGCCTTGGAGTGTGTGCCTTTCCATACAAGCACATTCACTGTAGTTTTCTTGGGTTTGAAACCATTGTGACAACCCTACATTTAGATCCCTGAGGCCCCTGGTTTCATAGCCGAAGGATTCCCAAATCTGGATCACAATAAAAGCTGAACGTCTATGCCAGCAACGCCTAACTAACTGAGAGAATCCACAAAAAAGCACTTCTTCCTGGAGACTACAAAACAAACACAGCGAGAAGGTCAAAAGAGCAGACTAAGAATATGAGGACTTTGGGCAGGTCAGGAAGCTCTGAGAGGTGGGATGCCAAGTACAATAACGCAGCCATGCATACAGGAGGGAAGGTGTCCAGGAATTTGACCTCATGAAGTCATTGTGAGCCCACATTGTCTGCTATCCTGGATTCTGAAACTCATTCTGATGTTGTTGGACATCAATGATTTAAAGTTTGTTTGTGTCGATGTAGCACAAATGCTTTCAGGGTTTGATTTTCATGGATTCCCACCAATGCTAACAATTAAATGTTTGCAGTCTCTTCTGATTAAAGCGCCCCACAATTGTCCTCTGAATTCAAGGAGGAACATCTGTGGCAATGGTGCCATCTGGTGGAGATTATGCTTGTCTTTCATGGTGGATTTAAAACAAATACTCAACAGTCAAACCACAAAATCAACTGACACACATTCAGACACAATTACTGCAATAATAGGTGCTGTAAAATTCAGATTGAACTTCCCCTTCATGAGACTACAACAACAGATGGATGTTGAAGCAAACAGTCCAGAGAAGCTGCAGTGTAAACATGTTGAAAATGATGTCAGTGTCTGGAGAAATTAGTTTATACAGAATTTGGGGGGGTTTAAGGAGTGATTCTGGTGGTCTGGATGAGGTTTATAGAGCAAGTCAGTATGGGAAAATCCAAGAAGGGAGAAATGTAATGACACATGCTCCTCTTGCTTCACACCTCATGTAACATCCTGCTGTGAGTTTAAAAAAATGTTAACACCAAATGCACAATTACTTTTCATAAGTTTAGTTTATTAACCCAATAAAGGAGAAACACATAAAACACTTTTACAATACATATAAAAGGGGAAACACATAAATTACAGTATAGGAGGAAGGAATTCTGAAAGGCTTATTCAGAGTCCTTTCCTTTTCAAACAAATAAAGAATGTCTATTACGAACAAAACGAAACTAAGAAAGAAACACATAGTACAATATATCTATACACACGAAACAAGAGTAAGCTAAAAATAACTAAAACACCTTTAGTGAAAATAAGCAAAAGTCTGGGTCCGGTGTCTTTATAAAGTCACAAAATATGACCTGTATGGATAAAATCAAGTTCTTTACTACGAATATGTTAGACTTTAAAAGTATATTTGGCTTCTTTGTATGCCAGTGATTTTGTCGAGTCCCCAAATCAAGATATCTCCACCACGAGACAAGCTGGAAGAAATGTTGGGGATTTGATGACACAATCACAGAATCCAGGAGTATATTTTTTTATTTGCAATTATAATCATATAGCCTAATTTCTAGTTTAAGGCATGGGTGAAATACTTCTTAGTGCAGGGTAGAAGATGGAATTAACACTGTTGGGAATAACTTTCATTTAGTATTGCGTGGTTGTGTGCAAATACCAAACAACTGTAGAAATCAAATATGTATTATTGTTCCGTATTCTTCGGCCCCCGTACACACACCCACATATGTATTCCATCCCCAACGAGCCAAATGAATTACTCATTTCTCCCCTCCTGAGCTGTCACGGCTCCACACACAGCTGAGGCTCTCCTTATAAATGAGACTCAGCAGGACTCTCGCTGACAGCTCCGTCTGAAAATGGAGATTCAGTCGACCGACCGGCCAGTCAGGTAGTCAGTCAGTGTGAAGCCTCATCGGCCCCGGGGCCTCCGTGTGGTGCGGTGGTGAACCACAGCTGTGTGGGTGCTGCCCATAGACTGTATAAATGTGCTGCCTTGTGTTGAGTGGCATTGTTGTGAAGATATGCTGCAGGTCGTAGCAAATGAAGGCAGGGTTTATTTAGTAGCTTCAAATGAAATGTCCTGCTGTCTGGTGGTGGAGGAAGTATTATATTATTATATTACCCTTTTGTCTCATGAAGGGATACAACCATAAATGAAGTAGGCCTACTCCATTACATGTCACGGTCTTTCATTATGGTTTCTTACTTAATTCAAATGAAATAAACATTCACAGAATCCACTTAAAAATACATGAGAATTAAAGTAACTAGCTTGCCAGACAAATATAGTAAGTAAATGTAAAAAAGCACAGTACATAAGTAAAACGTCTTTCAAAGTACAAATGACCATGTGAAATATCTCTAAACTAACTTACTTAAAGGGGACCTATCATGCAAAATGCACTTTTGTACGTCTTTTATACATGAATATGTGTCCCCGCCCGGTGTGTCAGGGAACTCACCAAGTGTCAGAAAACACAACCCTCTCTATTTTCCTCCATACCCAAATCTCTAAAAACGGGGCTGCAACGGATCTGATACAGGCTGATACAGATTTGAAAATTATCTGACGTCAGGAACGAGGAGCTCCGCATATATGGCCAACCATAGGCGGCGCGTGAGACTCAGGTATTGGAAGGCTAAATAACTTATTTTTACCTGACGCTGCCCGCCTCCGGCGTCTATAGAAAGGAGATCAACTCAGTGAAAGCACCTCCTGCTGACCAATCAGCAGTGGCGGTTCTAGACCAATTTGACTGGGGGGGCCACTGGGGGGCCAGTTATTTTCTGAGGGGGGCACAATAAATGCAGGACGAAAAAGAGAACTAGACAGTATTAAGTAATTGCGCATAAGAAAACAATGCAATACAGTTATTGGTATTTGTTTCAGTACACTTATTTATTTATTATTTATTCAGATAAATCTTATAGTTATTACTGTTAGCTTCAGCTTAAGTTATAGTGCAATGTTTGCACTAACACCATATTTATATAAAAATAAAGGCAATGAACAGTTACATCTCTACTTTACATAAGGGTGTCTGCACAGTCTCACATTACAGCAACAAAATCCTGCGGTTTTTGGCAAACCGAGTACCAGAAAATATACATTTAAAAAAAAAAAAGCGTGGCGTGGGAAAAAAATTAGGGGAAGCCAATAATACGTCCTTTTTTTTGGGTCGGGGGTGTGGTGGTCAATG